CAGCTTTACTTGTACCGAAAACCCTTAAATGTCCATCTCCAATATATATCCATATATTCATCTACATCCATCTCCAATATATATCCATATATATCTAATATATATCCATATATATATATATATCTCCATCTCCACACATACATATCTCCATCTCCAATAAATATACATATATACTTACATCCATCATCTCCAATATATATACATATATATACACATCCATCTCCAATATGTATGTGTACATATACATATATCTCCATCTCCAATATATATACATATATATATCTCTATCTCCAATATATATATCCATCTCCAGCCAGATTTCCTTCCTCAGCATATCCAACTATCTACCCGCACATCTTCACCAAGCTGCTCTCCAAGTCTCTCAGATTCAACATGCCAAAACCGAACTCACCTTCTGACATCTCCTGCCAAGGCCCAAAGCCATTCCATTTCCTGGAGTCTCCACTGTGGGCAGAGGCTACCGTACACCTAGAACTCTCCTTCTCCAAGCAGCAACACATCAGACACCAAATCCTGCCGAGGTTAATGCTTCCACATCTCCTTCCGTAACATCTTGGCCTCTCAGTTCCCCCACAGTCACCCTGGTTTCATCGCCTTCTCTCTCCTTGGATTCTTCCAGCCATTTCATCGACAGTATCTCTGTTACCTCTATTATCCTCACAAGTCAGTGATGCACTCTGGTGCCAGAGGAATCTTTTTAGCAAATTTTATTACATCTCTGCTTATTTAGGATTCTTTATTTTTAAACTGTACCTTTAGGATAATCAGGTCTTGGTATCTGGGCTCCTTTTCCAAGATCCTTGCTTTGGCTCCACCCAGCTCCCACCTCATTGTTGATTAGACTCCCTGTCATGAACTTTTTCACAGCTAGGTTTTGAATCCCCATGCACTTGGTCTTCATTTGTCTACGTTTAATCACCCAAGCATGGGTCTTTAAACCAAGTTACTCCCCCTAAGAAACTCACAGCTTGTGGCTCATAAAAGGTCCATCCCCAAAAGACCTCAGAGCTGTTGCTCCTGCACTCGCTCTTTGCTCTCCGATTCATCCCTGCATCTAGCCAGGCTCTCAACTTCCTGAACTGTACCCTCCTCCCTGACTTTTGGCTTCCCACTGTGATCAGAGTCATTTCTGGAAGTGGTTGGGCTTGGGCTTGTGGTGGTTTCACGTCAGCCCCTCTAGAATCCCAGCCTGGGGGTGCTCTGCCAGCCTCAGAAGTATTGAACACTTCTACAAATGTTCTGCATTCTAGAGCAAGCCTACCATCAAGTAGCTGTGACGTCTTGGATTAGTCACATCCCTCCATGTCTTCATTCAAATAGCAAGAGTAATAAAAACAACTAGTAGTAATCACCAAGGGTAAACTATTGCGGGGAGCAGGGGTGGATTTGGTGGCTTAGACCGTTGAATACAAAGTTGATGATCTGAAATGTAAACTTCCACCCAACTTATAATCAAAAATATATTATAAAAAGATTACTGAGTGCTTAATAGAGTAAAGTTCAGAACATTCTACATGGATTTTATCATTAAAATCTCACAACTGCTTTTTGGTTTAGCATTATTATCCCCAACTGAAAGAAAGGAAACAAGGGGTTTACAAAGATAAGCACCCTGTCCAAGGTCACACAGCTAGAAAGTGGCGAAGCTGGTGTTCAATCAAGCAGCAGTCTGTTCTGAAGACTGGTCACTCAGTCACTGCACCCGCCTTCCTCCCAATTTGGAACTCGCAGCTGTAAAACCAGGAAATTAAATGTTTGGGTCCCTTCCCAATCGAATATTCTAGGAAAACACACCTCTTTTGAGGGCAACAGAAGAAAAAGTTAAACGCAAAGGGCTAAAATACATTCCACAAAGTGTGGAATTCTGCCAACTATGAGTAATCACGTCATATGCCAGCTAGCTTCTTTTCTGAGTAAATCCAGGGGTTAATTTCTCTTTCCTTAACTATCTAGTTTAGTGGTTACGCCTGCGGTGTTATACAAAAGCAGAAATCAGAAAATAAAAATGATCTGTATTGCTGATTAGCACAGTGTGTGCATGTGCCCTTTTCTACAGTGGGAGCCGTGTCGGTTCTGCTGTGCTTTTCTTAAGCTAAATACATTCTGAATCATTCTCCAATAAAATTTTAATGATTGGTTGGTGTATTAGTCTGGGTACTTTAAAGAAACAAATCCACAGAAAGTCATGTATAAGAGAGAGTTTTATATAAAGGTTAAGTGCGCATCAGGAAAGCATCCCAACCCAGTGCTGCCCAAGCCCACAAGTCCAACATTAACTCATTAACCCATAAGTCCAACACCAATCCAGAAAGTCCTGCTCCATCTCACAAAACAGACGCAATGATGCTGAGAGGAAAGCTGAGTCAGTGAACGTGTAAGCATCTCAGCGCTGGCAGGGGTCTAGGGGTCTCCACACGGGTGCTCCAGCACCCAGGGCTGCATCGGGGTAGGTCCATACGGCTTCTCCTTGGGGATGTCTTGCAGGAAGTGACCCTTGCCAGCTGAAACAGGGAACTGGCTAAGGCAGCTGCACCCTGGTCCGACCATCAGAAAGCAAGAGACCCGAGAACTAGAAAGGTGAGACTCACCGAGCTATTTATCCCTCCGCCCTTCAATTAACCCCACATGTGTTTATTGGCCAGGTTGCCACAATAAACTAACTACCTCAGTTGGTGTTCTCTTATGGTTTTATTATAATTAACCAATCACTTATTTTCAATCAATTGAATTGTTCTGGAGATTTTTCTCTATTAGGAAAAATGTGAGGGAAAAGATCAATTTCACTAGAACTTTCAAACATATAGGATTGGATCCTTAGAATAAGTTCCTAAAGGTTGAACTTCTGAGTTAAAGCGTATCATCTATATTTTATGGGCTCTTGAAATTGGATCTCCAGACTAATATCCAGGAAGATTATACTCTACTATCAAACTCACCATCAAGTTGATTGGGAGCTCTCGTGGTATATTGGTAACTAATTGGGCTGCTAAGCGCAAGGTCAACAGTTCCACTTCGAAACCACCAGCCACTCCAAGGGAGACAGAGGAGGCTTTCTACTCCCTTAAAGAGTTACAGTCTTGGAACCCCACAGGGGCAGTTCGACTTTGTCCTAAGGAGTCCTAAGGGGTTGCTATGAGTACCACCATACTATCAGCAATTTAAAAACAAACAAGATGAACTAAACACTGCCCTTCAGTTGCTTCTGAGTAGAACAGTTCCCTCTTCATGAATGCAGCTCACCAGGCCTTGCTCCCAGGATGCTGCTGAGTAGGTTCAAACTGCCAACCTTTAGATTCATAGTCTGAGGGCAAACTGGGCCACCTAGCAAGTCATAGAATTCTTCCTCCCTCCTTATTCTCATGGAGAACCCACTCACTCTCTCTCTTTTACACTTGCAACTTGGAGTGAGGAAAAATTACATCTCACTGTATTAATTTGCATTTCTTTTGAGATTGAACACCACTTGTCAGTTATTCGTACTTTTTTAGGTCTAAAATTTGCGCTTAAAAAAATCATTTTATTGGGGGCTTGTACAACACTTATCACGCTCCATACATACATCCGTGTGTGTCAAGCACATTTGTACATTTGTTTCCATCATCATTCTCAAAATATTTGCTTTCTCCTTGAGCCCTTGGTATCAGCTCCTCATTTTCCCCCTCCTTCCCCAATCCCCCCTTTCTCATGAACCCTTGATAATTTATAAATTATTATTATTTTGTCATATCTTACACTGTCCAACATCTCCCTTCACCCACTTTTCTGTTGTCCGTCCCCCACGGAGGAGGTTATATGTAGATGTGCTTTTTAATGAGCTCTCATGACCAGTTTTTCAGGCACTGAGAAACCAAGTAGTGTCACCACTATCATCCCACAAGAATTTGAAATTCCTTTTTATTTTGTTTGGTACACGAGTGGCATTTCAAAATTCCACCAGTGGAAAAGAAATTTCACTTGGAAACTCAATTATACTCTTCTGCAATAAAAGCAGCAACACTATCTTGCAAAACCAGAAGGTCATTGAGTGTGTCTCAAAGAGTCATGATGACAAATCGTGAGAAGTCCCTGCCACAGGGACTGGCAGGGCATCGAGACACATTGTAATGCAGAGCAAAGCTGGTGAGAAAACAGATTGGCCTGGTACAGGTTTTAGCTGTACCCCTTATGAGCATCGTAGCCCTGGGCAAATTCTTTAGCCAGTTAACTTATCTGCACAGTGGGATGATGATACCACTGATGTGTGAAAATCTCGGTGAAGACAAAAGCAAGTGAAGCGACCCACAAAGTCTGCAGCACCTATGTATGTGCAACATACGAAGCTCATTTAATTCCTCCCCAATGCCTTTTTATCCTCCACTTCCCCTCCCCGCCATGCCCAGAATCTCCCACGCTGTGTGTGAGTCATTATCTGGGGCTGTCTCATCTCCTTACACTTCCTCTTCCTCTCTTCTTCTTCCATCTGTATTTCAACCTCCATCTCTCCTGCCTGTCACCCTCAAGGCCAACTACGTGACCCTGCCATGTACCACATGTACTCCATCTCATTGGTCAGTACCCCAGACATTTTGAAATGTCCCAGTTCTTCACTTAAAATCAATAGCTATGACATTTAATGTTTGAAAAACAAATCTGCACAACCGAAAAGAATCGCTCAGAAACAGTCAATACCTCAAATAACTCTTAAGTTCCCACAACTGTCAAAGGTCTCTCATAGGAAACAAAGCAAACATTTCCCAGAGGTGGAGCTGTGAACTCAACCTCAGTGGGTACATCTGACCTTGGAGAGCATTGACCCCTCTCCTCCCCACCCCACCCAGGTGTTTCTGCTTTGGGCCTCTGTTCTGTAACTCAAATTGGCTTTCACTCTTGGGCAGGAAGGAAAAAACCTTAGCAGTTTCCTCAACTTCAGCCTGCTGCTACTGTCCCTTGTCCCTTAACTCCTAACTCAGCTTCAAGGAATGGTAAGAATGGTCACTCACTGTTGGAGATCCATCTTGGTGACTTCTCGCCTTGAGTAACACCGGGTTCTGGGCTGAAGCCGGGGTTCCTTCAGCTGTGCTGGCCCCCACTTTTACACAGGAAAGGGAGCAGCCCTTTCCTGCCAACGCTGTCTTCTGCACTGGCTCTAGAGCCAGTGATTTTCTTGAATAAAGGCAGTTCCTCTTTCTTCTATGTTTTTCCCCACACACTTGTGGAAGAAATTTAACTCTTTCCTTGCACTTTGAGTTTGTGGACCTAGGTCTAAATTAGTATTATTTTTCCTAGGAATCCGGCAGCTTAATGTTCCACACACGAAGTTTAGAAAGGGCTGACTCAAACCTCCCCTTCTTAAAACTCCCTCCAAAGACATAGGTGACAAGATAATTAAAAGGAGAAAGCACTATCCTTCTCTGGATAAGATAAAATAAGAGGCCATTGGACAGAGTTGGGCGAGGCAGTCTAAAAGGGCAAATGACCATGGGGGATTGCCCTGGGCTGAAGGGTCCTGTGAGAGGGCTGCCGACCAAAGAGGACAAACATCAACAACAGCTTATATAATGAACGGAGACATTCGGTAGTC